CCTACAATTAAGACTAGTTATATGCCTTTACTTATAAAAATAAAAATAAAAACTTATTTAAAAAATACCAGGCTTGAGAAATGTATTTTCTTTATGCAGGTCATACACACAGCAGTGAAATGGTTAAGCCCCCTCCCCTGCACACACACACACACACACACAGACAGACAGCCAGCCAGCCAGCCAGCCAAAGACACAGAGACACAGAGACATGTAGGCTCAGAGTGGCCATATTAAACAAAAATATCTGACTTTCTGTGGGTCTAGCTAATAAGTGTCATTAGAAAAGTTGTCCGGCTCGAGGAGTACAATATACATACCAATTTTTGTAACTCTAGTTAAAACTAACAACCCCACTTTTGTCAAAAGGTGGCGCTACTGAGCCCTCACCACGCCCGTTTCTGAAACTTTGCACATGTCTACTGGCTAATAAATGTGTTGTGTCTGTCGAGTTTCATGCAATTTGAAGCATGCTAAGGGTCTCAAAAGCATCCAAAAAGCATCCTAAAAGAAGGGTAAAGTTTGATGCGTCGCCACGGCAACAGTTTCAAAGATATCAAGAATCCATTCACAGGTCTACATCTGCCATATGTTTACATTATACATATGAAGTTTGAAGCAAATCGGGTAAAAATAAAAGGGTGATATCAAAGCATTTTGAAAGTGACACACTTCCTGCTGCCAGTTGGTGGCGCTATAACTTTGACTCACAATAGTCACATCCATGTGATCGTCCTCTTACAGCGAACACACTGCTGAAGTTTCATCAAGATCAGTTAATGTATGCTGAAGTTATAACACACTTCCTGTTTCACGTTTCTCGCCATGATTTCGTTTCCTCGCCACGGACAAACCGTTCGAGATATAAAAAATCCCCTCGCAAACTTTCATCCTCAATGTCTTGACTTCACGCTGACCGAGTTTCGTCGAATTTGGATCAAAGCTCTAGGAGGAGTATATGACATTCCATTGCGAGCGTTTTACAAACAAACCTCAATAGCCGACTTCCTGTTGGGCTGGGGTAAAAAGTAAGAGTGTGAGGTATAGATTAAACGATGAGATCAACATGTGTACCGAGTTTCATATTATTACATACAAGCGTGTTTGAGTTATGGACCAAGTGTTCGGACCCCGTTCCAGGGGGCGCTGACGAGCCGCCCTACCACGCCCGGGTACCAGCTTCAGCCCGGCTCTGATGGCCGCGGGTTCTGACCCGTGTGCAAAGTTTCAAGAGTTTTCGAGCACGTTAAGGGCCCCAAAAGTGCCCAAAAGGTAGTAAAATAATAAATATAGCTGCGAGCAGCGATGGCGGGCCCAAGCCGGTGGCACCGCAACCCCTGGCTCCTTTAGTTACCTAAAGGCACCGGGGTGGCGGTGCCGAAGGCTTTGGCCCTTTCATGATTAAATGTTAAGACGGCTTGCCATAGTCTGTCATTTTGACTAGTCACAATTATGTTACAGATATCTTAAATGATAATACAAACTATCCAAAATGTAATTACGACTAGACAGAAAGACATTGTTGATATCTACAATGTTAATTTCCGGATAGGCAAACTTAGCTTTTAAATGTTAAAAGGGCTTGCCATACACGGACGTAGGCTCAGAGAGAGTATTCAAACCAAAATTTCTGACTTCCTCTTGGTCTGAGCTAATGACTATGAATTAGAAAGTTGTCTGGCTTGAGGAGTACAATGTATATAACGATTTTTGTAACTGTAGATAAAAATAACAACCCCACTTTTGTCAAAAGGTGGCGCTATTTAGTCCCTGCACCATGCCCGTTTCTGATACTTTGCACATGTCTACTGGCTAATAAATGTGATGTGTCTGTTGAGTTTCATGCAATTTCAAGCATGCTAAGAGTATCAAAAGCATCCTAAAATAATTTCAAAGTTTGAAGCTTTGCCACGGCAACAGTTTAAAAGATATCAAGAATCCATTCCCAGGTCTACATCTAACGTATGTTTACATTATACAGATGAAGTTTTTCATCTGTTTTTCATCATTATACAGATGAAGTTTTTCATCTGTTTACATTATACAGATGAAGTTTTTCATTCATATTATTACATGCAACCGTGTTTGATTTATGGACCAAGTTTTCGGACCCCGTTCCAGGGGGCGCTGTCTAGCCCCCCTGCCACGCCTAGGTACCATCTTCAGCCCGGGCCTGATGGCTGTGGGATATGACCTGTGTGCAAAGTTTCAAGAGTTTTCAAACCCGATAAGGGCCTCAAAAGCCATTAAGAGTCTCAAAATCATCAAAAAAAAGAATTTTAAAGTTTGATGCGTTGCCACGGCAACAGTATCAAAGATATCAAGAATCCATTCACAGGTCTTCATCTGCCATGTATTTACATTATACAGATGAAGTTTGAAGCAAATCGGGTAAAAATAAGAGGTTGATTTCAAAGCATTTTGAAAGTGACACACTTCCTGCTGCCAGTTGGTGGCGCTATAACTTTGACTCGAAATAGTCACATCCATGTGATCGTCCTCTTACAGCGAACACACTGATGAAGTTTCATCAAGATATGTTAATGTATGCTGAAGTTATAACACACTTCCTGTTTCACGTTTCTCGCCATAATTTCGTTTCCTCGCCACGGCCAAACCGTTTGAGATATCAAAAATCCCCTCAAAAACTTTCATCCTCAATGTCTTGACTTCTTGCACACCGAGTTTGGTTGTGATTGGTAAACACATGCGTTGTAATTTGATGTATTTCTCCTAGGACAACTATTCAAACAACCCATAATTCTCAACTTCCATTTTAATTGTCGTAAAACTTAGAGCACGAAAGTTGTTTGGCCTGATGTGATCTATAATTGTACCGAGTTTCATATTAATTCACGCAAGTGTGTTTGATTTATGGACAAATGTTCGAATCCCAGTCCAGGGGGCGCTGTCGAGCCGCCCTGCCACGCCCGATGACCAGCTTCAGCCCGGCCCTGATGGTCATGGGTTCTGACCCGTGTGCAAAGTTTCAAGAGTTTTAGAGGATGTTAAGGCCCCCGAAAATGCCAGAGAAGTCGCACACAGCAAATAAAGGGTTAAAATTAACCTGACAGGCGCCCCTCCTCTCACTCACACAGAGAGACACTGAGAGACTGGCAAAATTCTAAGATTTTCTCTACATTCAAACAAAGATATCTGACTTTCTGTGGGTCCTAGCTAATGAGTGTCAATTAGAAAGTTGTCCGGCTCGAGGAGTACAATATACATACCGATTTTTGTAACTCTAGTTAAAACTAACAACCCCACTTTTGTCAAAAGGTGGTGCTACTGAGCCCTCACCACGCCCGTTTCTGAAACTTTGCACATGTCTACTGGCTAATAAATGTGATGTGTCTGTCGAGTTTCATGCGATTTGAAGCATGCTAAGGGTCTCAAAAGCATCCTAAAAGAATGGTAAAGTTTGATGCGTTGCCACGGCAACAGTTTCAAAGATATCAAGAATCCATTCACAGGTCTACATCTGCCGTATATTTACATTATACAGATGAAGTTTGAAGCAAATCGGGTAAAAATAAAAGGATGATTTCAAAGCATTTTGAAAGTGACACACTTCCTGCTGCCAGTTGGTGGCGCTATAACTTTGACTCACAATAGTCACATCCATGTGATCGTCCTCTTACAGCGAACACACTGCTGAAGTTTCATCAAGATCAGTTAATGTATGCTGAAGTTATAACACACTTCCTGTTTCACGTTTCTCGCCATAATTCGTTTCCTCGCCACGGCCAAACCGTTCGAGATATCAAAAATCCCCTCGTAAACTTTCATCCTCAATGCCTTGACTTCATGCTGACCGAGTTTCGTGCCGTGTGTTTGAATTCTCTAGGAGGAGTATTGCACATTCCATTGCGAGCGTTTTACAAACAAACCTCAATAGCCGACTTCCTGTTGGGCTGGGGTAAAAAGTAATAGTTTGAGGTATATATGAACGATGAGATCAACATGTGTACCGAGTTTCATATTATTACATGCAAGCGTGTTTGAGTTATGGACCAAGTGTTCGGACCCCGTTCCAGGGGGCGCTGTCTAGCCCCCCTGCCACACCCAGGTACCATCTTCAGCCCGGCTCTGATGGCTGTGGGATCTGACCTGTGTGCAAAGTTTCAAGAGTTTTCAAACCCGTTAAGGGCCCCAAAGCCGCTAAGAGTCTCAAATCATCAAAAAAAAAAGAATTTTAAAGTTTGATG